TTTTTTTTTTTTTTTTTTTTTTTTTTTTTTTTTTTGCATACTCTTCCATTTTCATAATGGTTTGTTTTTCTTATTCTTTTTTTATTTTGTATATAGTTTTTTTATTAAAAAAAAAATACATAATATAATTTGTCTACAAAAATTATGGCATTTTCCATTTCCCAAAATTTTTTATTGGAATAAAATTTAAAAAAAAAATTACTCAAATAACATTTATTACACATTATTTACCATACTATAGCACCATTTACTATTCATGCTTAGCAACCTTTTAATTTTTTTTTTTTTTTGCATTTTGGGTGTAGATTATGAGGTCAAACTAGATTTAGACCGGGTCGTTCTGTTTTTAGAACAGACTGCTCCAGATGCTAAAATAACACATGACGAATGGATCAGAACAGACCGTTCTGATTCACACACTATGAGTGCAAGCAAAACGGACCGTTCTGCTTGCAGTACGGGCCATTCTGTTTACAGAATAAGTCGTTCTAAATGCAAAATTCACACATAATCTAAACCCAAAACGAAAAGAAAAATTAAATGCTACTCAGAATTTGGTTATCAGGAAACTAAATTCTGAGCAAAAAAAAATTACTTAGAATTCGATTTTCAGGAAATCAAATTCTGATCATGTACAGTAAATAGTGTTAGTACGGTAAATAATGTGTCTCACATGCTATTCGAGTAACTTTTTTTAATAAAAAAAATTATATTTCAGTCAAAAATTCCCATTTTCCATATCCATCATCACAATTGACAGTTTGACACACTTGGAAGCACGCTGGTGTGTATTAATTATTGTGCCATCAGTGATGGAGTACGTACTGAGCATTTCTCAGACACATCACACACAGGAAGGACTTGCAGTGGCAGATTGTAATTTTTTGCTTTTCAATCCATTTCATTCAGTGTGCATCTTTACTTCTCCTTCAATCTGATTTTTCTTTTCTATCTGATTTTGCTTTAAGTTTTTGTTTTTGTTTTTGTTAATTTAATGATCATGCATGCATCGTTAATGTAATAATTTTTTACATAAACACTTAATAAAAACTCGAGGTTGTTATTATTATTATTATTATTATAATAATAAAAAGTAACAAATTTATCATAATAGTAATTTGTTTTACACCGTAGCCTTTTTTAATTTTATTTTGCTTTGGGATTTACTCCAAGGAAAAAGGATTAAATAATCTCATAGTAAATAATTTGTGCAATTAAAATTTACGACTAATTATCTTGATGCATGTATGTACGAGAATTACGTCAATTGTTTATAATAGGATTGTTGAATTTTATTATTACTTAGAATAAATCAAGAATTCCTTAATTTCAAGAAAACCAAAAAGATAAAGAAGTCACCTGTACTTCTTCTCAAAAAGAGATATTTTTATCAATTAATTTATATTCAATCTTTGGCTAAAACTGCTCAAGCAAACGGCATAGAAACATTTACTCAACCTCAAAATAATTTTTCCAATAGGAATTTCAGCCCTCATGGTGGTGGCGGATTCCATCGTAGTAGTCGTGGCAACCATAGAGAGGTTGCGGTGGATATTTTAGCATTCAATGCCAAGTGTACCACAAATACAAACATGATGCACTAGTTTGCTATTACTTATTTGAGGAGAATTATCTTCCTCAAATTCCTATGGAGTTCTCATATCAACAAACTAAGGTATTGTAATGGCATTATCCTTCTTGGAATACCTATCACTATTGATCGAACTCTTTCACCATCCACAATTCCTCGTAATCAATACATCAGACAAAATGTTGTTATTAGTTTTTCTTACCTTGCTTAAAAGAAACCTAAGATAACAGTTAAAAATGTTTTGCAAAATTAAAATTGACTCAATCCCACGTTTAAAGATGATATACAAATAAATAGTTCACAAATTATGACTATTATCCTCCCCACAATAAATCTCGTGGGTAAGAAAGAAATTTTAGTTTAAAAATAATTTTTATTTTAAATTTTTAATATAATATTATGATGTTAATTATAAGTAATAAATTAAAGAAAAAAATTAATTATAAACGAAAATCATTAATTTTAAAATTATTTAAGATTAATTTTTTATATCTTTTATTTATTGTTAATTTTATTTTTTATGTATTCACTTATAACTAACATTAACTATAACAATAATTTAAAGAAAATAATATATTTGAAATAAATTTAAATTTATAATAAAATCATTTTCATTATTTATTTTTATGTTAATTACAATAAGCATCGAAGTTAATATTAATTACTAATTTTTTATTTATATTTTTAATATTATTCTTTTAAAAATTTGTCGTTGCGTTACATTATTTTTAGTAAATATGACTAATAATAAGATTAGTTTTGTCAAATTATTATTCTTTTTTTTTATTAATTAGTTTTTCTTACCTTGCTTAAAAGAAACCTAAGATAACAGTTAAAAATGTTTTGCAAAATTAAAATTGACTCAATCCCACGTTTAAAGATGATATACAAATAAATAGTTCACAAATTATGACTACACAATCAATAATAATATATGTATTCAATATAAAAATATCATTATTGAAATGTGTTACTAAAAAGTCAAGGTT